TCGTCAATTTACTTATTATATAACTAATATACTCTGAAAAATAGTCAAGGGACCATTTTGGGAATAGTCGAGGGATCATTTTGAGAAAAACTCATTTATTTATTTCATTTTTGTTTATTTTCATTTTTGTAAGACTATCAAATTAGAGTTTCTATACATTTTTTTTTACAAATATAAATAGTTAAAATCCATAATCAAACCTCAAAATTTTAAACTTTCTATACAAATTTGTTCCTTCTGTCTAAACATACAAACTTTTCATCTAATCCTATCAAGTTTTACAATAAGTTCTGTAAATTTCAAAAATATAATACTCATATACTTTTTATGTTCACACACACACTAAAACTTCAATAGACAATCAATCACTATGTATCATATTAAATATTATTTTTACATCGAAAATAACATTACTATTTTTATCAGTTTAGACACCCAAAATGTACTCTTCACTTCTCGGTCACTATGCCTTTTGAAAATAAAATTATTATTTTTACAATCAATCGCTATGCTCTGGCACTTCTTCGAACTGAGAAGTACGCGTCACTTCTCGGTCAATGACAAAATCTTAGAAAATATTTTTGGAAAGTTGGCTTAACTTATCTTGTAAGGCCATTAGTTTCATTTCAAAGGTAGTACAAACCATAGCTACCATTTCCAAATGCCAATCTACCCAGAAGTACATTATGCTAAAGAGATTCTAGAACTATGGCTATCAATCTTATGTCTTAAAGGACAAGTAAAATAAACCAAATGCAAAAATAATTAGCACAAAACAAACAAAGTCTCATCATTTACCAAATGTTGTTTGAATGCTACTAGCTCTATTACATTGTAGTATATGTTCATATACTTTCGCAACCTACTAAAACACAAAGAACCAATAACGCCTCCACTGAGGCTCAAACTCACAACCTTCCAAATGGAAATCCGTCCGAGTACCATTAGACCACATAGTCTTGGTTTTGTATTTTATATATGAATGTTAATAAACTTAAATTTAAAATTTAAACTTGTTTACCAAAGTACGTAAAAAAATAATAATTTTATTTTAACTATAAAAATAATATTTAATGTAATACATAGTGATTGATTGTCTTTTGAAGTTTTAATATGATTATAATATATGATTATATATATATATATATATATGAACATAAAAAGATAAAAATAAAAAGTATATGAGTATTTATGAATGTTACGAAATTTATTGTAAAATTCTGTAGGGATAGGGGAAAATTTTGTACGTTTAGACAAAAGGAAAAAAATTGTAGAGAACGTTTAAAATTTTGAGATTTGATTGTGGATTTTAACTATTTATATTTGTAAGAAAAAAAATGTATAGAAATTCTAATTTGATAGTGTTAAAAAATGGAAATAAATAAATGAGTTTTTCTCAAAATGATCCCTCGACTATTCCCAAAATGGTCCCTCGACTATTTTTCAGAGTATATTAGGCATATAATAGGTGAATGGACGAAAATGCCCTTCATTTTAACACTCAATAGATGGAATTTCTAACAGAAGACCAATTTGGGGGAGTTTTTAAAAGTCAATGGACCACATTGGGTGCAATTAAAAGTCGAAATGCAAAATTGAGAATAAGCGATAGTCGAGGGACCATTCTGGGAAAAAACTCTTGTCCAAATTAAAAGTCGAAGACCAATTTTTAAAAATCAACATAGCCGGGGGACCAATGCTGAAATTAACTCTTATCAACATATAGTTTAGTAATTATGAACATAGAACTGTGTCCACCTTACAAGGTGGACACGGTTCCACAACATAAGGCAAATTATGCCCTGGAAACGTGTTCACCAAATTCATGGTGAACACGGGTCCAAACGGCGCCGTTTTTATGTAAAAAAAAAAATAAATAAAAAATAAAAAAAAATTGCTAATGTGGTGTTAATGGCGCGCATTTGGTCAGATTATGAATTTTTTGTTATGAGATTATGAATGTACTGTAAATTCATAATCTCATAACAGAAAATTCATAATCGCATAAAAGAAAAACATTTATTAAATTATGAATTTTCTGTTATGAGATTATGAATTTACAGAAAATTCATAATCTCATAACATAAAATTCATAATCTCATAACATAAAATTCATAATCTCATAACAGAAAATTCATAATCTCATAACAGAAAATTCACAATTTATGAATGTTGAAGAAGCTTGCGCTACAGAGGAGCAGCCATGGTTTCGGACGGGAATGTGTAGGCATGGTTCCAAAGTGAATGTGCAGGCATGGATTCATAATTTATGAATGTCCGAAATCATTCCAAAGTGAAACTGCAAAATGTGAAAATAAAAAAGAAAAGTCACGCGATTAATTAAAAAAAAAAAAAGATAACGGTGCACTAACACCGTTGGGACCGTGTTCACCATGGATGGTGAACACGGTTCCATGGCATAACGATTGACAACATAACGACTGGGCTTTTGTAGGCCTAATTGTTTGGGTCACGACAAGCCCATCAACGTAACAGCAATCCGGGCGTATTTGTCGTGTTTTACCAATTGTTATATCGTGCATTAGGGCGCACAAACAATCATCTGTTTTGTATGTACATAATTGTATATTAGAATACACATAAACTCTTAACATAATGCACATAATCTAACATAATACTCCGTACATAGTACATATAAACTATTAATATAATACACATAAATCCTTAATATTATATTCATAAACTCCTAACATAATACACATAACTAACATAATACATAATACACATGAACTCTTAATATAATATACATACACTCTTAACATAATACACATAAACTCTCAACATAATACACATAAACCTTTAGGACGCACAATGCATTGTGCACCCTGGTGCACAATATAATTTGCCGTGTTTTACGTAGTAGGCTACTATAAATATCCAAAAATAATGTTAAAATTGGCCACTGAACGTAACCTGAAAATGCAATTATGCCACTGAACGGAAAAAAAAAAAAAAAAAAGAAGTACAATTAGGCCACTGAACACTCAAAAAACGTGCAATTAGGTCATTGAACCCTCCAAATGTATGCAATTTCACCGGAAAGCGGATTACCATCAATTTTAGCAGGTTACTTGCTTACATGGCAGCTGAGTTGGCATTTTTAATAATATTTAACAAATATTAATAATAAATTTTTTAAAAATTGAAAAAATTAAATAAAAATAAAAATTTATTAAAAATTATTAAAAATGACAACTCAGCTGCCACGTAAGCAGGTAACATGCTAAAATTGATGATAACCTGCTATCAGGTGAAATTGCATACATTTGGAGTGTTCAGTGGCTTAATTGCACTTTTTTTTTTTTTTCGTTCAATGACCTAATTGCATTTTCATGTTATATTCAGTGACCAATTTGAACCTTATTCCAAAATATCCACTGCGACAAATAAATGAAGAAAAGGATTAATTTATAAATGTCTTTCTAAATTTTTAGTATATTATTTGAATTTTTTAATTTTTCCATATTTATTATCTTTCATCTCTTTTTAAATTAGTTTTAAGATTATTACTACCATTACTACTACCATCACCACACCACAATCATCACTACCACCACTATCACCACCACCTCAACACACAATCACCACCACTATCACCTCCAACACTTATATTATTATTATTATTATTATTATTATTATTATTATTATTACAAAATATCAATTCCTTGGAGCATCCATAATAGTAATTTTTTTTTTTTTGTGATTTTTGAAGAGTTTTTGTAAGTGTGATTAGGAAAGAGGAGATGGAAAGAGGAAAAAAAAATAATAAGAAAAAATGATCTGACATTAAATAATAATAATAATAATAATAATAATAATAATAATAATAATAATAATAATAATAAAGAGTTAATATCATCTGAGGTCCTCCAAATATAGTAGTTTTGCTACATTTAATTCTAAACTTTCAAATTGACCATATGTGATAATATAATCATTGTTTGGTTTAGAATTATCTTTTATATACACACACTATAATACCCTCAACATATTTTTATATATTTTAATAATTATAATAAATAAATTAATAAATAAAATAACGGTATCATATATAATTACTAGATTTTAAAATATTAACTAAAATCTTGAACTTGAAAAATAAAATTATTTTATATGCTAATATAACGTAATAAAAATAATATATATATATATATATATATATATATATATATATATATATATATATATAATAATAAGCTAAAATAAAATATATATTTTAAAAAATTAGAATTAAAATGAAAAAATTTATAAATATCCAAAGCTATCTTACATAGCCTAAGAATGTTACATTTCCTTGGTTATGTTATATAACCTGAACCAAACGGTCCCTAAGGATTTGTATAAAAATGACTTTTAGAAGTTGTTTTTTTTTTGTTTTTTGTTTTTTTTTTTTGTTTTTTTTTTTTTTGTTTTTTGTTTTTTGTTTTTTTTTTTTTTGTTTTTGTTTTTTTGGTATTCAACAAAAATATCAAAAGAGAAATATTCATTCTTGTTAATGAAGAAAAGGATCAATTTAGTAGAAATGTCTTTCTAAATTTTTAGTGGAAACTGGAAAGACATTTTTTGAATTCTTTATTTTATTTTTGTATTTATTATCTCTCATTTCTTTTTAAACTATTTTTTGGATTATTATTACCACCCGCTACTGCACCACAATCACCACCACGGCACCACAACACCACCACCACAACACCACTACCATCACCACTACCACCTCTACAAATTATTATTATTATTATTATTATTACAAAATATCAATTCTTTAGACAAATTTAGTTAGGTGACAATATATCACAAGCTTTGGCTGCATTGATATTTTAGGTAAAAATAGCTGGAAAGCAGTCAAAGCACTCAGAAATTTCCCAAGTTTTTGTCAGTGTTGCAGAACATTTCGTATGTACAGGACACACTTACACAACCATCTCCAAAGTAGTCATTAAATCAAAATTTCTTTCCCCTAAACCACAGAACTGTGATCCATGGCCAAAACAGAGGTTTTAGGCAAGAATTACAGTGGAAATGCAAGCAAAAGAGATGAAAAACATTATGGCTCTTCTTCAAGTAGAAAAAAGACGAGCAAAATAAAAAAATGGAGGAGAGAATACATTTCTTACGTTGCCAAAATGAGAGGGACTTCAAGAAACTCAGGGGAAAATAACTCAGGAGGGTTAAACTTAAAGGCAGGCGAAAGAGAAAGAGTGATGGAGCTTCTAAACAAATTCAGGGAAATATGCAGGAATCTTTCACAGGAAAACAACACCCAGAGAGAAACTAAGGTTTCTGAAGAATCTGTGATGATGATGAGGAGAATCGATTTCTTAGCAGCAAGAGAAGTGAAGAAGATGAGATCTCTCTACACACAAAGAACAAATTCCCCAGGCCCAGTTCCAGGAGTGGAAGTGGGGGACAAATTTCTGTACAGAATGGAGCTCAACCTGGTAGGCCTGCACAGTAACATACAGAAAGGGATAGATTTCATCTGCAATGGCGCCGGGGAAAGAATCGCGACGAGCGTGGTGGCCTCGCCGGCGGGAGGGTATGCCAACGAAACAAGCGACCCAAATGTGCTGATTTATTGTGGGCAGGGCGGGGACATGGTTTCTGGGATTCAACAGGAAGATCAGAGGCTGAATAACCCAGGGAACTATGCACTGAAGAACAGCATTAGAGTGAAGAATCCAGTGAGGGTGATTCGAGGCACCAAGGAGAAGGCATCTTCGTCTTCGTGTAGAGAAGATGCGACAACGTTTGTGTATGATGGGCTGTACGAGGTTGTGGGATTGTGGAGAGACAGCAGCTGCAATGGCAAGTTGTTGTACAAGTTTAAGATGGTGAGGATTACTCAATAATTGTGCTGGTTAATTGCAATTAATCTGTGTTACTTATCTGAACCCTACTGAATTTAAAGACCGCACAAATTACCAAAGTCGTTTTTAAGGTAGTGTCTCGTTTTGATTTTCTTTGTTCTGGGCCAATCTAAATCGAAGTAGTTCTAATTTTTCCTAAAATTCCCAACATTACCTAATCACAAGTATTGGACTGAGGCCGGTGAAGGGCCAAATACAATACTCTGACTTTGGCTTTGGCTTTGGCTCTGGCTCTAGTGGTAATTAGACGATTGATCATAACAAGTGTTATCAGAGCTAGGTTTTGTAAATTATAACTTTTGATGTACTAGTAAACATTTGATCGTAAGAAGATTGGAATTGACATTTGTATTTTCACTATTTTGTATAGTGAGATTGCGGTTTAATTTTGTCATGCCCCCTGTCCCATCATTCTAATTGTAATCCTTTTTTTTTTTTTTTTTTTTAAAGCTAACACCAAAGTAAGTGCATTAAATCAAGAAGCCACGAATAAAGGTAGGAGGATCACCCTTCCAATATCATGGACCAGCATGAGAACCAACTCTTGTAGCAAGAGTGTGATCAAGCTAGTACACTGACCGACTAATGTGAACAACACGACACGACCCTAACGAATTCAAAATATTGCGACAATTGTTTACAACTGACTCAATATAAGAGAGACAAAATCACATACCATCAAAGCATAAACAAGATTCAGACAATAAGATTCAATACGAATATTCATTAATGACTTATTCTAAGGTAATCTTAAGATTTAATTAAACACCATCTTTTGGCTTTCTACCTCTGATCAATCGCTGTTCTTCTTTTTCTTCACTAGCATAGAACTACTTTATTTTATTACCGAATATTAATTAGGTCATCTCCAATGAAGGCATCAAAACGCCATTTTGGTGTAAAAATTTGGTGCAACTTTGCTCCAAGAAAGACACCAAAATTTACATTAAAATGGTGTAAGTGGATAGTGTTACTCCAAATATGGTGTAACACTATTCATTTACATCATTTTGGTGTATAACTTTTTAAATTCTTTTTACTAATTGTTTCCTTTTAAAATTTTATATTATTAGAAATTAGAAATAAATTATAAAAATTTAAAAATACTATTGAGACGTTTAAAATGAGATTAATATCGACGGTACAATAATTAAAAATTAAAATACATAAAAACATAAATTTTATTTTAAATTATTATTATTTATATTAAAATTATATTTTATATTAAAATAATTAAAGTAAACAAAATTAAAGTTTTAAATTATAAGAATACAAATTATTTTAATGTATGAATAGAATTTGGTGTAAATAGGTTGGAGATGAAATAAAATTTGGTGTAAATGGATTGAAGATGAAAAAATTTTGGTATAAAAATATGTTGAGAATATTCCTAAAATTTAGGGTGCATGATTTGATGTTTTGGATGAGAGAAGAAATTAATGAGAATGACCATTGTCCTAAGTACTTTGAGAACAAACATATTCTTTATGGGTGTTGTGTAGTATTTGAACTTGTGTCGGACTTATGTTTAGCTTGAAAAAGTTGGAAATGACTTGAAAACAAGAACAATAATAGAAAGGCAAAATGTAACTTTTTTTTACCCTAATTATATGCTTATAATATTTTTCCTCTGAATTATTTATATATACACACAATAGTTTCATTATAATAATGTTAAAATATCATTGTAATTCTACTTTAGTTTCATTTAACAATATACATATCTATAACGTGATACACTATTTGTTCAAGGTAACAAAAACCATTTCTTTTAATTAAAAAATAGTGTCGCGTCGTATTGGACTATAGTGTACACAGATGTGTGGACCATGGTCCATCGTATAACAATTGGTGCAAAGGTTGACCACCCGACTCGGGATGATTAGTCTTGTATTTTTGGGTTGGTACGGTACGGTATTGTTGAATGTTGATTATATAATGTATAAAATATAAATGTCTATGTCTCACTTAAAATTTAAACTTTGAAATTTAAATTTAAATATGATATTTCAATTATGGACATGTCTTGTGTAAAATCGTCTCACAAAACATATACTATTTTTTTTAGTAAAAATGTAATATATTTTTTTTATGCACCATAAACAGTCAAAATGTCATTTACCACACAAGGGTATCCGGTGATTAATAAATTAAAAATTAAAATAGATACTATTTTAAGGATTAAAAAATTTATCAAGGACTTTGTGATCTAATGGTACCAAGTTACTTTCTTATAGGGAAGATTGTGGATTTAAGTCTCAGTGAAAGTGATATTGACTCATTGTAATAGAGTCAGTAGTATTAAAAAAAGGATTACAAAGTTTTTACTTATAATTATAAAACACATCATGACTATTGTATGAGGGGAAGTGTTTGACTGTTAGTTCACAAGCAAATTTAATTCTTCTCTAGAGTTCATGGGGAGGGTCATTGGTGGATAGTAAATGTAATAAGTGTGTTTCTGGCTTATCTTCTAAGTTTTAACATTTTTCACATCAATTTATTTGTATTTATTTATTATTTGCGTGAAATTTCTATGGCCCTGTTTGGTAAAATGAACAAAAAAGAACTATCGGTTACAATAATTGATTAAATGTAGTAAATATTATGAGAAAATAAAAATTTTAGTGTATAAGTAGTGATTGAGTAAGTGCGTTATGATTCTTGTACTTAAAGGTCCATCACAAGTTTAATTGTTCGTCATATAAGATTTTTCTAGTGCAATTCACTTTTTTTGTGTAGTTTTTTAACTATTATATATGAGCCAGATTTATGGAAAATTATATCGTGCACAAAGATGCACAATGCATTGTACGCTCTAAGAGTTTATGTGTATTATGTTAAGAGTTCACGTGTATTAGCACGTTTGGTTCACGGAATTAATTTGGAGAGAATAGGAATGCTATTCCACAGGGAATGGAATATGTAAGGAATAAAATAGAAATTGTATTCTGTTGTTTGGTTGACTGAAAGAATAGACTTTAGTAATTGTATTACAATGTTTGTTTGGTTAAAGGAATAGAAATGGAATAGGTTTTAAAGACATAAATACTCTTATACAAAATAATAATAATAATAATAATAATAATAATAATAATAATAATAATGATTATGATATACTGAATGTTATTATATATATATATATATATATATATATATATATATATATATATATATATTTATTTATTTATTTATTTATTTATTTATATTTATATACATGTATATGTATGTGTGTGTGTGAGAGAGAATCATAATAATAATAATAATAATAATAATAATAATAATAATAATTATTATTATTATTATTATTATTATTATTATTATTATTATACAAATAAATATTTATATTTATATTTATATTTATTTTCCCACTTATCCCACATCGGTTAGAGAAGTAAGGAATGAAGCCTTGAGACTCCTATAAAAGGAGCCTCAAGGCTCCATAATTTCAATTGCAATGCTCATTCGCTAGGCAAACTTGCAATGCCTACCCGCTAGGCATGCAGATGGGCAGGCTACTCAATTTAGGAGCCAAGGCTCCATAATTAAGGAGTCTTATACAGTTAAATAATTATATATATATTTTCAAAAAAAAAAAATAATTATATATATTATCTGTTCATATAAACTTTCTCAACCTATTGAGCTCAACGAGTCAAAAGGCTCTTATTTAATGAAACTTGTCTTAGTGGTTTGTTATTTTAGTTTTTTTTTAATTGTTTTAATTTATTAGGGGGTTTGGGAAAGATTAACCCAAAATGTATATGTATTGTTTTAGTTTTTAAGAGGTTGAAGCAAATTGCTAAGTTATTAAATAATATTTTTGGTGTTTTGATTAAATATAAAATATTAAACATGCGAATTTGTTAAAATTTTATCGAATTTGCCAAATAATCAAATTACAACCACACGACAACAACAATAATAATAATATTATCCAAACAAAACTATAGACAAAATAAAATTAAAATTAGCAAAAAATAAATAAATAAAATAAGACAAAGGGGAGCCACATGCTCCCTTTGTAAATGATATGAGATTATTTTGATCCCACATTGAAAATGTTTGAAAAGATGTGCTCTTGAGCTCCTCTATATAAGAGGTACAAACATAATTGTTTGCCGATCAATGTTGCAAGTATTGAGAAGTCAAAAGGTTCTTATTTAAGATTTAAGAAACCTTAGCTTTGTCTTCTTATTTTAGTTTTTATTCATTATTATTTATTACTGTATTTATTATTTATTATTTATTTATTATTAGTGGGTGTTAGGTAAAATTAACACAAAATGTATGTGTTGTTTTAGTTTTTAGCAGTTTAGAGCAAATTATTGAGTTATTAAATAACATTTTTGGTGTTTTGCTTAAAGATAAATTGTTAAAATGGCAAATTTGTTAAAATTTTGGTGAATTTGTCAATCTCAATTTTTTTTAAATCGTAAATAATCAAATAATAATAATAATAATAATAATAATAATAATAATAATAATAATAATAATAATAATAATAATAATAATAATAATAATCACCATCATCATCATCATCATCCAAACAAAACAATATACAAACTAAAATTAAAATTAAAAAAAAATAAGAAGAATGACGTGTGATAATTTTAATCTCACATTGAAAATGTTTAGAAAGAGGAGCTCTTGAAAATGTTTACAAACATAATTGCTTGCCCATCACTGTTGGCAAGTAGTGATAAGTCCAAAGTTTTTTTTTTTAATTTTTTAGAAGTAAAGGAAAATTAAAAATGGAAATGAAATATTTCAATCATAATATTTTACATCATCAAGTAGTAAAGACATATTTAAAAAAAATAGTAAATGTAAATTAAAAATCATCAAATTAAAATGTAACGGAAATTAGGTAAAAATATCACTACATCTATATTCTAATTGACTGAAAATAAAAAAAAATAATTGAATGAAAATGAATCTAATATTACAAATTGACTGAAAATATAAAATGAAATGAATAT